CATGGAAAAGAATTATTTCACTCTCATATACTATTCCTCTCCTATTCTCCACATATTACATCACACTTTTTGTGAGATTAGGTTCTGATGTTATTGTATCTGTGCAAGCATTCTTCTCTGTTGAACTTGCAGCATGTTCCGATTGCATCTCTTTCCCTACAGCTTGTTTGTGCCTTCTGTTAACTGCTCCCACATTTCCTGTAATCTATTTTGTATGTACTATGATTACCATATTTTAAGCTCATAGTGAGAGATGTAAAAACCTTTACAAAGCATCGGGTAAGCTCTTTGTCATGATTGGAATGTAAAGCCCGCCCCTAAATGCTTGTTACTGAAGCATGGTATTCAGCTATCGGTCTCATCTGAAAACATACTAGAGTATGGGGGACTCACTAATGAGTCCTTATGGGTATCTTGTTCCAGGTTGCTACTTCTCTCTTGTGCCAGTGACCACATTAAAGATAACCCCAGAGAGACCAAAATGTGTCCATGATGCATTAAGGAATGTAAATACAGCACTTCTCCTTGGCTTAATTTGAACAAGAGCAAGACCAATTTTGAATTCTCCACTCTTCTACCTGTATCTTCAGCCTGTGTGTAGCCTGTCTGTTACACATGTCTGTTTGATGTCTGCCAATCTCCTGTCTGAATCTATTATATCTATTCATCCTGGCTCCTAACAAAGGGCTGTGCTCTGCATACTGAGAAACACAGAAGACAGGGCATGGGGAGGAGGTGACAGATTCTTTCTAGACATCTTTAACAGAGTTTTACAAGAGGGGAAATCACCTTACTGACCTCTACTGCCCCAAAGTAGTAAACAACACTGCAGAGAGATATTATTAGCTATATCCATTTTGCTCACAACATTTATGCTGGATATTTATTGCATAAGGCTGCTTTCCACCTTTTAGCTATTTTCAGTAAATGATTTCACAACACACACATACACACATATATTATTCAAGATCGGGGATAAGAGTACATAATTTAATATTAAAGCTATATATTAACTTAGGTTGTAAAAATTATATGCTGTCTTAGTTACTTTTCTATTGGTATGAAGAGACACCATGACAAAGGCAACTTATAAGAGAAAACATTTAATTAGGGGGTTGCTTACAGTGTCAGAGGGTAAGTCCCTGACCATCATCACATCAGGGAGCAAGCCAGCAAGCAGAAAGGCTACCACTGGGGTGGTAGCTGAGAGTTTGCATCTTATTCTTACAAGATGGAGACAGAGAGTAAGAGACTAAGCCTTGTGTGAGCTTTCAAATCTCAAAGCCACCCCTACTTACACACCTCCTTCAAGGCCATGCCCTCTAATCCTTTCTACAACAGTTCCACCAACTATAGATGCACCAGTCAAATATATGAGCCTCTGGGGGGTGCATTTTCACTTAAACATCCATGTAGGGAAAATTAAGAGTATTGCCCTGCTCTTTTTTAAGGCTGGTTAATCTGAGAGAGGCTGAGTCCACAGGAGGTAGCATGCCAAGTCTTAAGTGACATCAAGGCACATCATGAACACAGCAGACTGTGAGGTCCCACAGAAGTTCCATCTCTCTGAAAAGAAGAAACATTTCTATCGAACCATATCACTACACTCTGAATTTTTGCTTGTTTGCTGCCATGAGCAGAAGAGACTTCTCTGTTCTACACAAGGACATCACAATATTCTGCCTAGCCTAAAGAGGCCAACCAACCAGGGGCTGAAACTTCTGAAAATGTGAGTAAAAAAACAACCATTCCTCAGTTAAATTGTTGTGTCAGGCTTTTTGCCACAGCGTGTAAAGAAAACACAACACTGCTATGTTAGCCGTGTTTTTATTAACACTGATGGAGTGTTAAAAATTATCGAGATTCATGTAGCAAATAAAAACACATGAACCTAAGTAATCTGGCTCACATTGAAAGTTCTCAGAAACAGATTTTTCAAATAGGTTAGTTATCTCTACTATGATATATTTTTATCACTCAAAACTTGTAAAATTTACTATGAAAGGGAATTTATTCATAGCTATATGAATAAATATAAGTATGGAAAAATAATACCAGATTCTTACCCTATGAATTTATCATGGGAGCTGAGGGTATTTCCTGGGAAATTCCTCCCAATAAGTTGTCACATTTGCAAATACAATTCAAAGTTTAGTATTATTTTCTCAAATTTAGATGACTATCTCATTGACCATATATCAGAAAGGCACAGAAAAATAATATAACTTAAATATGGCACGTATCTCAGTAACATTTCACTCAAATAATATAGAACAAGATGTTTGCAAGCTCAAATTATATCTAAAAAACCCCAAAAGAAAGTCAAAGGGAAGAAGGTAACATGGCATCATGAAGTTGATTGGCATTTTAATAAATCAGAGGAGCTGGGGAATGGAATGGGCATCACTATTCTTAAGAAGATGAGCAGCATCAACTGCTTAGGCACAACTCACTCTGAGTAGCAAGGTAAAAAGGAGTAACCTCAGATGGTATTGCAAAGCTTAGTCACAAAAAAAAAATCTTCTAAATCTCTACCAGTCTTCTTTCCTGCTTTGTATATGAGTTTTTAAGCCCCTACGGCACAGATTTTATTGCCATCAAGTCCATTGTGGTAGCAATGTAGTCAAAACTCTGATTCAAAACTGGTTGCTACTGTGTTTCCAAAGTTTCATGACTTCACTCAGAAAAACAAAATATATACACCATAGGATATATAAAACCCCTAGCAGGTCTGATGCCTATACTCTAATCAAACAAATTTTATGAGCAAAATATATTAGTTCATACAAAGTAAAGTAAATAAAGAGTACATTAATGATTAAAAATTTCTACTTAGAGAGTAGTCACACTTGGCTACTAACCTGGTTTATACAAAGCCCACAAGCATCACCCAAACACAGGAGGACAAACCATGCATTCCCTTGTAGAACATTTTAGAATTTTGAATTATATTCAACATACTAGAGTTTTGTATTTAAAGGTTATGACCTATCATACAAGGAAATAACAGTGTATTTAATTAAATGGTGTACAATAACTAAATAACACAGTATTTAATTCACTTAAATCAAATTTAGTTTAATTACAAATATATTCAAACCGTACAGAGCTTAAGTGGAGGTTTGGTGCAGGTCTGGCCAACCTGGATACACAGAAGGTAAGTGTTGCACATAGTTGAGCCTGCCAGGATCATGTCAGTGGATGTCTCGGGACAATGGAACACAGGCTTCTGTCATACACAAGAGGGCAACAAGCACTTAACTGTGGAAGATGAATCACAAATGCTGCTGTCACTACTTCCTTCCTCATTGTCTCCATAAATAAAGGAGCCCGGCAGAGGCTCCATGAATAGACCATTGATAATTTCTAGCCTCTCCCTAACTATGCAACACCTGCACTATGCTGAAAGAACAGGAAAGGGGAATGAAAAGAAAACAGGCTGGAAAACAGGAACCCCTTACTTGTTATTATGTCTGAATTACTTTAAAGGAGAGAAAAATGCATTCTAATATTAGAGACTTAAAAATAAATGCCATTTCTCATGAAAACAATGAGAGTGCCAGATGAACCTGTGTAAAAAACCGAACTAAATGCAGGCACTTAATGTCTTTGGTGGGGAGAGGAGTAAAGAGAGCAGAAGATGCCTAACAGAGTTGTAAAGAAGGAAAAGTACGAGAGTGTGACAGAATGAAACAAATCAAGCAACGTTCTCCAGAAGGCACTGTATTTTCAGGGTCAGTAATGGTCACTTACAATAGACGTGTGATACTTTACAAGGCAATGTGGATAGATGATTGTGCTTGCTTACAATTCAATGCAAAATATGCATTGAAAATGAGAATGGTTGACTTTGTATGCAGGTTAAATGATTAAGCCAGTCAGAGCACATTATGGAAAGAGCCTTTCTTCATAAAGTTCATTAACATATAGATGTGTGGGAGACTGTGCTGGCACAAGCCTATAATTCCAGCACTTGGGAGACAAGGGCAGGTGGATCACTGAGTTCAAAGTGAGCCAGTTAGAACTATACAGAGCAAGTTCCAGATAGCCAGGGCTATATAAAGAGAAACCCTGAATCAAAAAGAGAAAAAAAAAAGATTTAGATGTGCATGTTTATATTTATATGTTGTCTAAGTTAAGGTTTCTATTGCTGTGAAGAGATATCATGCCATGACCACAACATCTATTATAAAGGAAAATATTTAATTGTGGTGGCTTACAGTTCAGAAGTTCAATCCATTATCATGATGGTGGGACATGGCAGCATATAGGCAGACATGGTGCTGGAGAGTTAGCAGAGAGTTCTACATCTTTCACAGGCAATAGGAAGTGAACTGAGACACTGGGTGTGGCTTGAGCATATATGAGACTTCAAAGCCCACCTCCACAGTGACATACTTCCTCCAACAAAGCAATAAGTACTCCATCAAAGCAACACTTCCTAATAGTGCCACTCCCAATGAGCTTATGGGAGCCAATTACAGTCAAAGTATCACACATGTACACATTAAAAGTTTATGCACTAAATGCAAAGAGGCTATTGGCAATACCAATAATATTTATCATCTTATTAATGTGATATTACATATTCTCTACTGAATATGTATCATGTCACAAATTATGAAAATTTGAAGTAAAATTTCTCTTCTCAGAAATGTCTCAAAGCAAGTTAGGGAATAGGAAAGATGATAAATGGATCTGCAATGCAAGATTCAGGGATTTGGGACTTCAGAACCCATGATGCAATGTCAGGTATGGTGGCACATACTTGCAGTCTGAACCTGAAGAAGGATAATTGAAGTTGCAGGCTAATGTCTCTATGTACCTAGCTATGTGCAGAAGGAAACAAACAAACAAACAAACAAAAGACATTTCTTAAAGGATTACCACTATCCTATAACATTTTCATTTACAACTAAAGAAACTGTTTATTTTCAGAAAACCATAGTTAAACCTAGAAGAAAATCAGTGGGTACACTAGTTGACTGAAGTTTACTTACAGTACACATCCACTCGGATCGACTTTATTGCTGGGGACCCCAAGCCGTTCTCTGCTTTACAGTAATAGCGGCCACCTTGGTGTCTCTGAATGTTGGTAATCCTCAACGTCTCGTTGAAGACACTTGAGTCTTGGAATCTGTCAGAGGCACTTCCTGCTGTTTTCGTCCACCTGATCTGAGCAAGCATCAACAAAGATTGTTACTTTAGGTTGGTTTTCCACAGACAAGCACACAGCAGTTTTTCAACTGAAGAATTGGCTTTCAGAGCCTTTCTGTCACATTAGTGGGAAATTAAAGTATATGTCCCCCCAACTGAGCTACAAAGTTGCAAGTGCTAATGTCATCACCATAGAGTGCAAATCACTTAGAAGCAACTGCATGGAAGTTATCGATAGTCTAATGAGATTGCAGGCAATCCACAGTAGACATGTGACTCGGTCTCTGTGTCTACTGAGCATTTCAATTTTGCTTATACATGTCTGAACTTTGGAAGACACCTTTTTTGTTATTTGGACCAAAGAGGTTCTCGTTTCTTTTGGGACGTGCTTCATTATTTTATTTAAAATTTTCTCTTTGGTTTAGATAATGTAGGCATATTACCATAATGGCTTATTGAGATTATGTATAATTTTACGCACCTGGTTGTTAAAAGAGATTTCATTTTATTTAATGGCTTTGCTTTAATAGGCCTACAAATGATTTGTTACTTTGAAAATTGGAATTCACTTTACATCAATAATTATTTTCCAAAATGTGTAAACTTTTTCAAAGATTGCAGTCCTATCAGACTGTCAAAACAATTTGAATATCTAAAATTGTCCATTATAAACAATACCATTCTTTTAAACACAGCTGTGTGCAACAGATTTTGTGTTTGCTAGCAATAACAACTGGTATTCAACTTAAATTTTGTGTGTTGTCATATATAAAACCTGAATAAACACCACATGCTGATACTGTAGAGTGCTACAAGATAGAAGATGAAAACAACTTGTCTCACCTGTGTATTTAAAAATAATTTATTTAATATTTGGAAACAACTAATGGAAATATTCTACTTAAACATCTATAATGATACATATGTTGAAACATGGAGAAACTGAAGTGGGAGTTTTCAAACTTGAGTTTGTATAATACAATCCTTAGCAATATTACTTTCACACACTAAAATCATACTATAATGGCATTAAGCTGTCTTTAAAAAGTTTTTCAAAACATAAAATAGCAGGATAAATATAATCATGCTTCCTCTGAAATGTAAAAGCAACAAAAATGTTACTTAGAGATTACTAAACTAAAAGAAATAGTGAATATTTGTTCAAATATTGGTATGTATATGGGAAAGTACAGGAAGTAAGTGTAAAATCCATAGCCAAGCATTTTATTAATTATCTTATCTGTAAAGGCTGTAATGATGGTGATTTTTGCACTGAAAAGTCTAGGATTCTGTTTTCATTTAAATTTTAATATCTATAGGTAAAGAAATAAGGATTTTTACTTTATTTAAAAAATAGATTGTTGTCTTTAGTATAATACACACTGAAATTCTAGTTACTAAATAGCAATTTTTACAAATGTTTCAATATAATGTTTAAAGCCAATTCAGAAAACTAAGTGTTTCAGAATACAAAAGGTATGAATTAAAAGAGTTATAGAAATAAGACAAAATGGCTGCCTACAGAATGGGAAAAGATCTTCACCAACCTCACATCTGACAGGGGCTGATCTCCAAAATATATAAAGAATCCAAGAAACTAGACATCAAAATACCAAACAAGCCAATCAAAAATGAGCTCCAGAGCTAAACAGAGAATTCTCAAATAGCCAAAATACATTTAAGGAATTGCTCAACATCCTTAGTCATCAGGGAAATGCAAATCAAAATGACTTTGAGATATCATATTATACCTGTCCGAATGGTTAATATCAAAACCATTGACAACATTTTATGTTGGAGAGGATGCTGTGCAAGGGGAACACTCCTCCACTGTTGGTGGGAGTGCAAACTTGCACAGCCACTTTGGAAATCAGTATGGTGGTTTCTCAGAGAACTGGGAATCAATCTTCCTCAAGACCCAGCTATATCACTCTTGGGCATATACTCAAGGAATGCTCAACCCTACCACAAGGTCACATGCTCAACTATTTTCATAGCAGCATTGATTCATAATAGCCAGAACCTGTAAACAGCCTAGATGCTCCTCCATCGAAGAATGGATAAAGAAAATGTGGTACATATACACAATGAAGTACTACTCAGCAGTAAAAAACAATGACATCATGAAATTTGCAGGCAAATGAAGGGAACTAGGAAATATCATCCTCAATAAGGTAACCCAGACTCAAAAGGACAAACATTGTATGTACTCACTCGTAAGTGGATACTAATTGTAAAACAAAGGATAACCAGAGTACAATTCATAGCTCCAGAGTAGCTAACCATAAAGGAGGACCCAAAAAAAGGATGCAGGGATTGCCTTGGGAAGGGGAAATAGATAAGATCTATGCTATATCCATGAGCAAACTGGGGGTGAGGGGTGGCAATGGAGGGTAGGGGATGGGGGATGAGAACATAAGGGAATGGGATGGTCAAGTTGGAACAGGGACTGAGTAGTAGAACAATGAAAAAGACATCATAATAGAGGGAGACATCATGGGGATAGGGAGAAACTGGATGCTAGTGAAGTTCCCAGGACTCCACAAGGATGACCCCAGCTTAGACCACTAGCAATATTGGAGAGGGTACCTGAGCTGGCCTACCCTGGTAATCAAATTGGGGAATATCCTAACTGTCACCATAGAGCCTTCATCTAGTAACTGATGGAAACAGATGCAGAGATCCACTGCCAAGCACCAGGCCAAGCTCCAGGAGTCCAGTTGAAGAGAGGGAAGAAGAATTTTATGAGCAAGTGTCATCAAGATAATAATGGGGAAACCTACAATGGAATCAAACTAGTGGGAACTTAACTAACTTTAGACCAACAGCGGTGTAGTCTCCATAGGGCTGGACTAGGCCCTCTGCATAAGCAAGACAGTTGTGTAGCTTAATCTGCTTAAGGGCCTCCGTGGCAGTAGGATCAGGTCCATCCCTGGTGCATGAGCTGGCTTTTTGGAGCCCACTACCTATGGTAAGATACCTTACATAGCCTTGATGCAGGGGTAGGGGCTTGGACCTGCCTCTACTGAATGTACCAGGCTCTGTGGACTCCCCATGGGAGGCCTAACCTTGTCGAAGGAGGGAAATGGGGGGAGGGTTGTGGGGGAAGGCTGGAGGGGTGGGAGGAGGGAAAAGAGAGGGCTCTGTGGTGAGTATGTAAAATGAACAATAAATTCCATAATAAAAAATTAAATAAAGCACTGAATGTTAAAAAAGGAGTCATAGATATGATCTAAGTCTTTCAAATTTGTAAAATTATGCTGTTAATATACATAATTTCATTGGAAAAATTATTTTAGTATCACATATGGTTCAAGATAGGAGGAGAAGTGTGTGTGAGAGAGTGGGAGAGGAAAAGAGGGAGAGCAGGAGAGAGGCAATCTTGACACACAGCCACTAGTATCAAATTTTTGGTCACAGCACAACTTGACCTTTTTTAAAGTTGTTGAGGACCCAGAATTATTTTGCTCATTTTAGTTTCATTCATCTCTTTAATTATTTGTGTTTATTCTTTTAAAGTTAATTTTTAATGGAAATAAAGTGTATCACCCCCTTTTCTCCCTTTAGCTCCTCTCAAGTATCATCCCAACAACCCCTCCCATGCTGTCCCTACTCTCAAATTGATAGGCTATTTTTCCTCTGATTATTATTGTTATATAGATAGATAGATAGATACATACATACATACATGCATGCATGTATGCATGTATGTGTGCATGCACGTGCGATGCAAATTAAAACAACTTAGGGTTTTCATCTCTCTCTAGTCAGAATAACTAAGATCAACAAAACTACTATCAACAAACACTACTGAAGTTGTAGAGAAAGAGGGATCTCATTCACTTTGGTAGGGATGCTAATTGGTTCAACCACTCTTGGAACAAGTGTGGAGGATTCTCTAGAAACTACAAATGAATCTACTATGTGCCACACATATTGACATATGCCCAAAGGACTCAACAACATGCTCCACAGGTACTTGCTTAGCAATGTCAACCGCCACTCTACTCACAATAGCCAGGAAATGGAAACAACCTAAATGTCCTTCAACAGGTGAATGAATAGTAACAATGTGGTAAATAGATACAATGAAGTACTTTTCAACTATAATTATTTATTCATTTATTTTTAACAAATAAAAACAGGTAACATTAATCTATAGATTCCCAATTTTAAATATACTGTTAAAGCTATGCCATGCTCACATAAGTATGGCTTTTAACTAGAAAACTATATTTTCTAAAACAAATAAGAGTGGCATAGTTTACAGTGCCATGACTCTCTTTAGTACCTGGTTTAGGAGATTTAAGTCAAGCAGAATCTCATAGCAGCTTCTGCATATGATCTAATCAAGGTGTTTTCTTTTTTGCAATTATACAAAGAAAAATCTGAATCCACACTGATATTTAGTCAGAAAGGAATGACTATTCAATAGCCTTTTCAGAGAATCATATATCTTCTACACTAAAACTCCACAAGTGGTAGTTTTTCAACATTTTTGCTCAGTATAATCTAAAACTACACAAAAAGTCTTTCTATAGTCTATTATCTGAAGACCCATCAGTCAGTTTTTCTCCTTGAATGGATCTTTTATTCTGTGTTGTTTTGTACCATTGTACATTAGTCATTTGGGAAATACCCACTGATATACAAAGTTCTAAAAAAAGTTACTAATACCCAATTTCACCATCATATAATACAATTGAAGTCACATGTAATAATTCCATCACCAGTCTCCTTATTAGAGACTTAAAATGTTGGAAAGCCATTACATTGTCTTTCTCAAATTATATTTTTTTTCTATTAAGACCATGTCTTTATCATTGGTAAGATATGTAAATTGTCTTGAGGGTAATAGTGCATGGTCATTTAATTCATTAAAAAAAAGTTTAGAAAGCACACAAGTTTGTATCACCATACTTTTAATAGTGACCCTTTAAGTAAAATACTCACAAAAAGAAAGTGGCTAGTTCATCACAAAACACAACCACATGAATCTTTTCCCTGAGAGTACTGCC